TATTAGGCAATAAGAAGTCTGATTTTCTTGCCTTCTCAGCAAGTCAATTACGGGATAATTCTACGTGGATGTTTGCATCCAGAAATGGTCTTACTGCTGCTGATATAAGGAAATGGATGGGTGATTTTGGTACGATCAGAAATGTGGCAAAATATGCTGCCAGACTTGGTCAGTCTTTCAGTTCATCCAGAGAGACTTTAAATGTTGGTAGGCATGAAGTTGAACTTATTCCTGACGTGGAGGTTGAAAGTGATGAAGCGAAATATGTTTTCTCTGATGGAATTGGGAAAATATCTGCTGACTTTGCCCAGAGAGTTGCTATTAAATGTGGTCTTAAACATACTCCATCTGCCTTTCAGATTCGATATGCAGGGTTTAAAGGAGTAGTTGCTGTTGATCCCACGTCATCAATGAAATTGTCATTAAGAAAGAGCATGTTCAAGTATAAATCTCAAAACACAAAGTTAGATGTTTTGGCATGGAGCAAATATCAGCCTTCTTTTCTGAATCGCCAATTGATAACACTTTTGTCTACCCTTGGGGTTAGGGATCGTGTCTTTGAAAAAAAGCAAAGGGAGGCCATGCGGCAACTGGATACTATTTTAGTAGATCCATTAAGGGCACAGGAGGCACTAGAGTTGATGTCACCAGGAGAGAACACAAAGATTCTTAGGGAAATGCTTATGTGTGGTTATAAGCCTAATGTCGAACCATTCCTCTCGATGATGCTTCATACTTTCAGGGCAGTGAGGTCGCTGGAATTGCGGATCAAGACAAGGATATTTGTTCCGAGTGGGAGATTAGTGATGGGATGTTTAGATGAATGTGGAACCTTGGAGTATGGGCAGGTGTTTGTGCAATTTTCTGGTGCTGGACATAGGCCATTTTATGATGATATACCTCTTACGATCAATGACTATGGTTTGGACTGGCGTAACTCCATCGTTGAAGGGAAGGTTTTTGTTGCTAAAAACCCATGCTTGCACCCAGGAGATGTTCGTGTCTTGAGGGCTGTTGATGTGCCAGCTTTGCACCATATGGTGGATTGTATCGTTTTTCCACAGAACGGAAAGAGGTAAACATGTCACAAATATCTCGTAATACAAATTAATTCCTAGAACAGTTGTATGCAAAAATGTATTTGCTTCCAATTTTGTTGCCAGCTTTGCACCTGTGACGTTTTAACACTGCTGTGTGACGAGAGGAGGAAATCTTGGAGATATGTTATAATCTCTCCTGTCTTTTATCAAATCACATCTATAACCATCTGTTCCAATTTACTTGCAACTGCAGCATCACATGTGATTGTCAACAGCCATGGATAGTTTATTTGAGTAGTCATTTATTTTATTTGCTTCTCTGCTCCAATATTTTTGTGATTGGAGAAAAAATAGTTAAAATTCTTTACTAACAATATTCAAACTTTAATAGCAGACCCCATCCAAATGAATGCTCGGGAAGTGATTTGGATGGAGACGATTACTTTGTCTGTTGGGACCCTGATCTGATTCCTCCTCGTCAAATCCAACCCATGGATTATAGCCCAGCACCAAATATGTTGTTGGATCATGAGGTTACAATAGAGGTATTATTACTCTCTCATCTAATTACAGGTTTTGGGACTCAATTTCTTTCTATCATGGGGTTGCCCTCCTGTCAGTTAATTATCTTTTGGCTCGGCCTACAGACCATGATCAATCTCTATATCAGCTGTGACATTATAGTATCCTCCAAAATTGACATTATGACAGTATAGAGCATATATTCTTGCTGTCATTGTTATTGTTTACTACTAATGCTCACTCTAAAATGCATATTGAGTCACTGAAAAATGATCTATTATAAGATCTATTTTACATCCATTAATTCCATATGAGAAGAAAATATATTATTTGTTTTAATCATCTTCCTTTTAGCATTATACGAAGGACTTGGGCTACATCACTGAATTTACTTTTAATGAATTGAATGGAAATATTGTTTTTTGTAAGCTGTTTTACGTCTCGTATTTCTATTTAGATTTTGACTCAGACCACAATCCATAGAAATTTCAAATTTTTGAGAAGTAAAACCAAAATAGATTTACTTAAAAGAAGATATGGGTAAAACATCGGCCTATGTTATACTATTCAATTCTCGACAATGAATTGATTTGATAGCTTAGATAATGTTATTCACAATAGAGATGTGGTGAAAAATTTATCATCTCTATGGGATTAAATCTGGAGTTATTGTAAAGTTTCAAAAAAAAAAAAAAAAAAAAAACACAAAGAAGCCCATCAAATGAAATAAATTCAACTGCTAAAAAGAATAATGAACTTGTAAATTTGAAGGCCGCAGTTAATGACCATAAATAGGCCATGTATGGCTATGGGCCATGCCTGAAAAATGAATTTTCAAAAATGCCCTCAACTTCTTCATCATTATTGTCCTTACCTTAATCCCATATGAATGGGTCCACCGCATGAATTCTCTACCTGCGATCTTTTCTATAACTCTGTCATCTTGATAGAGATGGTTCTACTTCGTCGGATATTTATTCTAGTATGCCATTTCAACTACAATGTTTACCCATCCCATATTACTAAAGTCAACCTCTCTGTTTCTTACCTCCTAATACAATTAGTCTTCCTTGTTTGACTGGCGCATCATTAGGTCTCCGATGTAAGTGTCCAAACCATGTAAGTCTACTTTTTCTATTTTTCTCACTAATTGCCCATAAATTAATAAGCATAAAAAATGGAGTAACAAGTCTAGAAGTCCATTTGGGGTTTCTGTAGCTTATATAATAAGCACTTTTTTTAGATAATATTTGGTAACGTACTGTGTAAAACACTTTTTATGAATATTTTTATTTTTCTTAAGTAGACTATTTCTATATGTATATTCTCTCTCCGTGCAAAAAGCTCCAATTTTTAGCTTTGGCTAAACGCTATACTAAAGCCAAAATCTCTGACTTAAAGCTTTTTTTTTTTTCACCTAACACATCTAAAAGACAATTTTCAAATAAAAAGTACTTTTTGTCTCTCCAACAACAATGCCAAACGTATACTAAATAGGCGAAAAAAATTAAGACAGCTGCAATAAATTTCAATTGAAGAGATCCTAAGATGGTCTTGCATGCAAATGCACCAATCTCTAAGATTTTTTTTTTTCCTTCAAAATTGATCCTGGTTGAGGATATCTTCAAAATTCAACATGCTTTTGTTGTTACTAGTCGTGCTTATATTTCTTTCTTAATCCATGTGTGATTTGTTATGTATTGTAGCACCATGCTTACCATAAATAGCAGCAATGCAGTTGAACAAAAAAGGACACAGATCTTTTGCTTCACTTCAAAGCCTTAGTTGATAAAAAATAGGCAAAAAATAGTTTGTAGAAACACATTCAAATATTTAACACTTACTCATGTGCCAGAAGACCTCAAAATGTACAATTAATCTGCAAGGTAGTGATGTTCAATGCTCTTTCAAGTGTTCTCTCTGATTCGCTACTATTTGTTTTTCTGTTTTCAACGCATCACATGTTTATTTCTGCACTGCAGGAAGTCCAGGAGTATTTCACCAACTATATGCTGAATGACAGTTTAGGAATCATTGCAAATGCCCATACAATTTTTGCTGATAAGGAACCTTTGAAAGCAATGAGTGATCCTTGTATAGAGCTTGCGAGCTACACTCAGTTGCTGTTGACTTTCCAAAGACTGGTGTGCCGGCTGATATACCACCTCATTTACGTGTCAAAGAATACCCAGATTTTATGGAAAAGCCCGACAAGCCCACCTATGAATCACAGTGTGTGATTGGAAAGCTTTTTCGAGAGGTGAAAGATGCCGTACCGAACACAAACACATTTAAATCGTTCACAAAGGAAGTGGCAACACAGTCTTATGATCCTGACATGGAAGCAGATGGTTTTAAGGATTACGTCCAGGATGCATTTGAATGCAAATCTATTTATGATTTCAAGTTGGGCAACCTGATGAATGACTATGGCATCACAACTGAGGCTGAAATACTTAGTGGTAACATCGTGCAAATGTCAAAATATTATGACAGGAGAAGAGATGCAGAGGAAATTGGCTTGGCTGTACGGTCCTTGAGGAAGGAAGCTAGGACCTGGTTCAAAACAAAAGGGAGGGAGTTCGAAGTCGAGAGTGTATATGCAAAAGCATCAGCTTGGTACTATGTTACATATCATCCTAGTTTTTGGGGTCGCTGCAGCGAGGGAATGGAACATGATCATTTCCTAAGCTTTCCTTGGTGTGTTTATGACAAGTTGATCCGCATCAAGAAGGATAAATCAAGTTATAGGACTTCCCAAGTGTCTTCACTTGAACAGAAGTTCAGTGATGGATTGAGTTTGAGTTGAGAAGTTTGGCATCAAGATGGTTCAATGTTTCTGTCTGTAGTTTGTGTATGGCTTGAATGTTTCTGTCTGTAGTTTGTGTATGGCTTGAATGTTTCTGTCTGTAATTTGTGTATGGCTAATGGCTAATGTTGAGACTGAAATTAGTCACTTATCATCAAATAGACAGTAATTTCTGCTTCCTGATGTGAACCTACGCTTCCCGTCCTCATATTTTAGATGAGCTTCTCGTGGTCTGTAGATGCATAGAGGCTTAGGACATTACATTGGATAATTAGGGACATAATTAGATGAACCGGATTTAGACTGCCGTCCTCAGGGAATTCAGACGAACTAGCCAAGGCCTGCTTGATACTAGTTGAGTACTAGGGCAAAACTCCGCCTTCATATTGACATGTACTCCAGTAGGTTAATTATGCATATTTATATGTTTTATATAGACCTAAGTTTTCCTATCATTTAACATGGATAGATAATAATTTTGAGAACACAATGATGAATTGGAATAGGAGGAGTACACTTTCCTTGTTATAGTATACATATTTATATGTTTTATATAGATCGTTTTCCTGTTTCCTTTCTGTTTTCTTAAATGAAAATGTATATTTTCTGCATACCAGTAACATCTGAGGTTTGTTCCATAAAGGTTCAACAATATATTATTTCTCAAATCATATGGTCTTTATAAATCACAAGGAAAGAAAATAGGGAGCTCATAATATATTACATACTCTGATGAGAAGGCTGAATGAGATCAATCTTGAACGCGCATCATTTACGCTTCAAAACAAGAAATAGTTGGTTTTTCATCGCTGCGTCACTTGAGTGCAGCACGGAGGAGAACTCTGCACTTCTTTGAGAAGCCCGTTGATAAAGTTGATCAACAATCTCACTTCCAAAATGTTTGGTCAAAATCGATTCCAAGGTGGCTCTTTGGTGCTTTAGGAATGTTTGTGCGTCATATTTGTAAGTGTAGTCATTCAACTGCATTCTCTCCGTACTGAAACACCCATTTTTCTCTACCACACTCGCCATCTCCTTGGGGGAGGGACCATACACAGGAATGTTGAATGAATCTGCTTCAGCTTCGCTCACTAAACCCTGTATATGTATAAAGTTTGTGTTATAGGGTTACACTAAGGATTTGATGCAACTGTGATTCAAATTAATGCAACCACCCTGTGTAGATATTGTCCATTTTTCCCTGCTTGAGGAGAAGTTGCCTTCAGTTATGTGTGGATGCATTTTAAATGTGCAGACGCGTTTTGAAAATCGTGAGTATTAAAAATGTGCAAAACGGACAAAATCTACATAGCGTGGGGCAGGTCATCACATTTCACGATGTAAAGTTTTGTGTTCGAGTCTGCTAGAGGTAATATTGTGAGTATATGTGCATGTATATATATATTTATATATTTATTGAGTATAGTATAAGAAATTTCTTTGGACTTTAACTTGAATAAGAAAAGTTGGTTTCTTTTCTGGCTTTAATTTGAATAGCTGGTTGTGGGGACTTACCATATTGACCAAATCCATGAGGCAAGAACTGAGAAAATCATATGACTGACCAAGGAAGAGCTTAGAATGATGGATGTCATCTGGGAAACCCATAATGATGACTACCATCATAGCTCCAACCACCATCTCTTTAGCTCTGGCACCCAGAAAGATCTCCATGTCCTTTGCAAATTGAGCCGCATAGACGTTGGCTACTTCCTCTTTGGCAGTTGTATAGTGAAATTTTTCCTTGTTCCAAGCAGGAGAGTTTTGGTCCAGCAGCTCTTCAGGAACCTTAGAGAGCCAGTTCATTGCGTAAGAAGAATAGACAAAATGAAGAGAGGACTCGGGGAATAGCCGGCCATAGAAAGAACCGGGAACTCCAGCAGCGAAGTATTGGCTATCAGGAGGGAGAGAGGTGAAAACGGTATTGAAATCATTGGAAGCATGATCGTTGAAGAAAACTTGGAATTCGGGCATCTCAGAAGGGAGGCTGCCTTGGGAATGGTACTTGTTTTTCATGGCTTGCAGTATGTTTTGCATAGCAATGAAGGTATTTGGCCCTGTTGAACATCCCAAATCTGCTACTCTCAATGTGTTTGAAGTAGAAGTAGTGAAGCATTTCATGTCAAGCTTCGTTGCAATTTCTTCATCGATTAATTCCTTTACAAAATTTGCTGCTTCTTTCTGGAAAAAAGAAGTGACACAGAGCATTCATAATTGCTACCATGAATAACAATTCCAGTCTATGCTTGTCATGGTTAGAAGCCAGACATAAATTGGAAATTAATATACTAAAATTGAGTACAGTACCCAGTTTAATCTCAATTAATTAAGGGTGCTGGGAGCGGTAAGGACCTAACTTTTTATATTATTTGCACAGAGTGACTGTTTTAGGATTTGAATTTTTTTGTTTTTACGTCTGACACCGGAACATTTTACTAGTGAACAAAGCAATGCCAACTAAGATGAAATATTGCCAAGGGTTATATTTTATGACAGCATAATAAGCTCCACCTATTTGAGGGTATGTGACACTTAGGTGTGTGTTTTATTCCATCTGGGATTTGAACTCTCCACCTTTCTTTTAAAAGTTGAAAAAGACCGATCAATTATTGGTGACAAATTAACGTCCTACTATGTGCATGTGTTGGTCTCGTGAATCAAATATAAAGTCTCATAAAACAATATTACTCAGTTGTGGTCTTGCTAGTAGGGTCTTAGGAAGGACGGACTCGAAACAAACTTAACTTTTGATATTTGTTAAAGTAGCTGCTCTGAAACTCAGACCAGCGCTAGTGACACTTGTGCTCTTAACTAAACAATTAATAACCTTAGAATATATATTTTTGGGTAAGACCGCATAAAATGTTTTATGATCTAGATAATGGAATTGGATGAATTTGAAACGAGACTTGAGTTTAAGTAATTGAATTAAAATTCCTGATTTGATATTAGGGAAGGACAACTAAAACCAATGTCCCGATTTATTTTTTATTTAAAAGAATATAAAAAGAAAAATTGGCTTGCTTTACGATTTCATATATATATATATATATATACACACACACACACACACACAAATTGGCTACAGCGGATTTTTTTTTAAAATGGTTAGAAATTACGTAACTTCCTCTAACACAAATATTCAATTTTGCATTTTCTTAATTTGTAGTTGTAAATTCTAATTTATTAAATATTTGTGTAAATTAATTTCTGAAAAAATATTTATGTCAATTTAAATTTTCTCCAACTAATTGTTTAATAATTTTACATAGTTTAGTAACATCCTGTCAAAATTAATTATAATCTTTACCACCATTGGTTTTAAAGTAGGTACTTGACATCCATCAATATAAGCAGCTACTCAGATCAAAACTTTTGTATTATTTAAACTTTAGTCAAAACTATATATTAATCAATTTCCCAAAAAAAAACTATATATTAATCTAAATTTAATGTATACTTCTTAAATCCTAAGTCGATATAAATCTCCTTCAATCTAAATAAAGCCTAAAACTTAATCAGAGAGTTGAATACCTATTCAAGTAAAATAGCAACATGTTGTTTATAGATATAATATATATATCTATACACACACATACAAAACATGTAATTTACTTACTTGATAAATGGAGTTACTGGAGTAGCTGTAAGTGCCACCACCACCAGTCATCGGATATGATTCCGGCCTGGCTGCAGTTTCGGTGTTGCTCATCTCCTCTCCTCTCCTCCCCCTCCTCTCCTCTCCTCTCCTCTCCTCTAAAGCTGAATTGAGAATTCAGAGCCCTTAACTTAATATACACTTGGTTAAAAAAACAAAAAAAAAAAAAAAACTTAATATACACAATTTTATTTTATTTTTATTTTTTGGGTAAAATATTTACACATTGTTTATTTGCATTATTACGACGGGAAGGTGAGTAGGTTTGACTAGTCTCATTTGGCTGCTGCTTTTCATTTTGTCAATATTCGCTTATGTGAATATTGTTTCTTTATTATTGACTTATTACTGTCTGGAGGACAAAAAGCTAAATACAAATGCGTCTATTTAGAATTGAAAGATTGACTACATTTTTTTTTTATTTTTTATTTTTTATTTTATCTTTATCTTTTTCCCTAAGGGCCCGTTTGATTAGACGAAAATAGATGGTGGAAAGTGAAAGTGAAAGTGAAAGTGAAGGAAAATAAAATTAAGTTTCTATTATGCATTTGATTAGTATGAAATTTTTTAAAGAAAATTGTGAGAAAATACTATGTTATTAGTTTAGATATAATGAAAGAGAAAAGAAAATAATTGTATTTATCAAAATTGACCTTATAATTTTAAATATTAAAAATACAAATAAATTTTAATTCATGCATCAAATTTTGTTGTTAATTATATTCATAACTTGTATGAGACACCAAGTCACCTGAATTTCTTTACTCAAAAATCTTTTAACATATATATATATATATATATATATATATATATATATATATATTATTAGAAATTGTGAATGAAAATTGTTTGATTAGTTGTCAACAGATGTATTTGACTGAACAAGTGTGATTACTGGTTGGTTATGGGATGAAAAGATACAACTCAAAACCAACAGACATAACATATTCAATGTGAACCATTGCAACCTATTGTAGTGGTTATGTCCAATGATGAAGAAACACATATAAATGGTTGTGTTCAATGATGAAGAAACATACCCAATCTCGAAAAGGCACTTCTATTTCTATAAATACCCACTTGGGTTGCTATTTGCAATTTTTTCAATTTATTTTCTTCTCTCTCCCTTTCTAGACTTGACCCAACCTAAGTGGGATCAAACCATACGTCAAGTGGCCCGAGCCACTTAGATCCTAATCTAATTTCATCGAGCCATATTAAGATTGGTAATTTGGTTTAGATTGCACCAAATTCAACATTTATATGGTATAGAGGCATTTTTGAGTCAGAGAGAGTAATACACAGAGGAGGTTCGCCGTATCCACGAGTTTGTAGTGCTGCTACTGGTGGATGTAGATCGTTGTATCCTGAGAGACAATCGCCACAGAATTTGTCAGCACCATGCGGGGCGTAAATTGTCTTAAGGACATAGTATCCAATACTAGCCTCGGTCCAGGTTATTTATTTATTTATTATTATTGTACTGCTTTAATTTGCATGTTTAATTAAATATCGAGTTGCATATTTAATTAATTATTTTTTAGTATATTATTAATTATCTCATGACATATTAGTATAAGGTTAGTTATATCTTAAATGTCATTTGAAGCATATATTTTTTAATATATATATATATATATATATATATATATATATATATATATATATATATGGACATTACATTTTATATAGTAATTCTAAGGACTTTGATGAAATCGAATTAGATTAGAATTGTTCTACTAGATATTTGTTTACATTAAAATAACCAAAACCAATAGAATTTTACATATATGACAACCAAGTTTATGAAAGGTTTTCTTTTTGAATTCAACTAGAATTATATAACTATAAAATATATTGTATTATTCTTTTTAAGGAACGTACATATTCCCTAAAACTTATAATAACTCTAGTATCCAAATTCTAAAACCTAGTTGATATGTATATATACATATTGTAAATTAATATAATGCATTTAGAAAAATTAATACCCACCATAATATGTTATATTTATATACATATTTGGAAGGAAGAAAATTTTAAAAAATAAAATAAAATAAAAGAGGAAAAGAAAGAAAGAATAAAGCATCAAGTTTGTTGATGGTGTGTCGCTGCACCACAAGCTTAGAAAGTGTGCATTAAGGCGAGGGCCAAGTTTTACATTTATAGAAGCCACTACTACCTTCACTAAAAATATAGTTACGGTGAGTAGGGATCGTCCCAAGGGATTGGAGTCGAATTTGGTTGTGGAATCGCTATTAGGGTTAGTAGGCCGAGTGATCAAACAAATGGTTGGTTGGTTGATTAAACTAGAGAGCAATTTAAGCTAAATAATTGAATGCAACAAGGAGTAAGTAAGAGAGAGAGAGAGATCTTGGGGTTTAGAGGTCACCACCAAACAATGCTTTTCTATACCCTTAACGAGTGACTAATGAGGGAAATGTGTGTTGCAATATTGATGTGTGTGTGTGTTTGGTTGATTCAATTAGCAAAGGTGACGAATTAAGCATACATTGTCTAATCAACATGTGAAAAACACAATATATCTAACAATTAAGTATATATTGTCTAAATAACATGTGAAAAGTATAATATATCTAGCAAGTCATTAATCCTTTCATTAAGCTCACAAATCAAATATACCACAAGGTTAGAGACATATGCTACTTGCATTCAAAAGTATGGAACATCAAGCAACAAGCATGGATTGTCCTCCCATCTAACAACTATGCTACCACTACACTACAATTAAGCTAATGACATGAAATTAAACTAATTAAGCTAAGGGAGAGGCACAATCCATCAAGAAATGAGCATGAACCATCTAGAAAATTACAAAAGCATTCCATTAAGCACAATATTTTGACAATTTCTAGATCTATGGCATTAATACACATAAACATGCATCAATAACACAAGAAATAGAGACAAACACATGAACATCTATTCTAGCACACATAGACATATGGTTAGAATGAAATGATCAATTGGAAGCATTAAACCACATAAATCATTGAATAAACAAGATCTATATATAAAAAAGTGCCAAAACATGCATTACAATACTAATCCCTCAATAATACACAAAATCAAGATGTAGAAAGCATGCTTGGGGCTAACTCTAGCCCCAAGAGGATTTCTAGCCACTCACGGTAGTGCTTCTCCAACCCTCAAGGGCTAACTCCATGGTAGAGATTTGCTCATTGGTTGATGAAGAGTCTCCAATGGTGTCTTTAGCCTCCTCCTCCTCTAAGCTTGCTCTCCAAGAGATGATATGATGTGATATGGTATGATGATGGTATAAAAAGTAATCCTTATCCTTATATAGGTAGGTTAAATGACACACAAAATGAGCTGGGGTCGTGCACAAAATATTCCCCAATGATTGGATAAATGACAACTTTTGGTGAGTTGGAAATTTAACTTTTTCGCATTGGAGGAAGTTCGATCGATCGAACCTTAGACTTGGATCGATCGAACATGGCTGAGATCTATCGAACTTAGGCTGGATCGATCTTTAATGGCGGCGCTTTTTGGATAAAAACAAATCTGAGATATTTTGAAGATATTTTTGGGAAAAGGACAAAAGTGGTTGGTAGGGTGGTACAACTAAATAAAATCAATCATTTGGATAAGGACAAAGGAGTTCGATCGATCAAAGAATGATGTTGGATCGATTGAACTTTTGAGATCTCTGGAAATGTCATCATGGCTCTGATCCATCTTGAAGTGCTGAGATCGATCATGTTGGATCGATCGAACTTTGATCTGAGATCGATCGAAGATGTTGATTTTCACCTTTTTCTTCCTTTTGCTTCCACTTGGCTCTTTTCTTTGATTCATCCTAGAATTGCTTTATTTCTGCTCTTATTTGGCTAAGTTAGCTTATTTTCGGGATAAGTGCCTAAAAATGAAAATAATATGAAATCAATCTAAAACGGTAAAGTAAGATAGATAAAGGTACTAGAATGCTTAAGCTTAAGGGTTTAAAGACGCACTTTTCAGCGCTCATCATTTGTATGCAAGATAAAAAAAGAAAAAAAAAAATGCTAAAAAGAAGATGTCCCCAGTTTCGTGAGTTCATTTATGTTTGGGAAAAAAAAAAGGGAGAAAAAGATAAAGGAAACCTAACTGATAATTATGGGTATAATAGGAATTTAAAGTTTAACTTAACAACTTTCTCAAGAAACACAAATTTGCGCATGTTTTATACATGAATCGTTTTAGAGAAAATTAGCTACTTGCAGGAATCCCAGGTTCCTAAAAACTTTCTATTTCATCCTAAACAAACACACAAAAAATTTAAATTCTGATTCCTTTCCTTTCTTGCTAGTTCTATCTAACCAAACGCACCCTAAAGGTAAAGTTAGAGTGAAAATTAAAGTATTCTTGGCGGAATTGAAGGGTTCCACAAATTGATATTTTTTATTTTTTAGAACATTCTATTTAAAATAACTATTTATTAGAATTTATATATATTTTTTTTTAAAAAAACAAATTGTAAGCAATGACTTTGAATATCCCATGCACTCTATTTAGTCACTCACTATACCAGTATGAGGCCTAATATTTTTATATTTATTTTTTATTTTTATTATTTTTATTATTTTTTTTCTTTTAACAACCAAACCGACCACTCCTGGACATTCCCAGGTCATTTGGATGTATTTGAACACTGCATATTCAATTTATACCTTGGGAAACCTTTTCGGGAGCCTACTTTCAGTCCTTGGGCAGAATGTGCAGTTAATGATCATGCGTTGGACAAATTTTTCACCTGAACTTATAATAGTTATATCTCCCTTATTCCAGATCCAAATTAAGTTAATATTGAGTCTAATGTCAAGAATTTTGAGTTAGATTTCCAATGGTATCTTCAAATTCCATTCTTACTGAGAGATATTCTCGTTTTAGTGAGACAGTGTCGGGAAATCACTTGACCGAGAGGGGGTATTTTTGGGAAACCATGACTAAAGGTCTTAGAACATCTTTGGATATTATGAATTGATTAGATTGGATTGAATACATTTCATTTGAATTGTTTTGAGTAAAATTTCTTCACCATTGGGTAAAATGACCATTTTACCCCTATTTCCATATTTTGTCCATTTTGATCTTAACTTTCGCTTTTGTCTTCGAGTTTTGTCTTAAGACTTCTTATGAGGCTCTCTTGTCTTCTAAGAGGTGATATTTAACTCTAATGACCTTTTCTTTGTTTTTTGCTTTTGCATTTTGGACTCGATATCGGGTCGGGTTTAGGGTTACTCGCTGACACTCCAGGTTCTTGAAATTTGGGCCGTTACACACATGTGACTATATAGATATATGTGACCATATATTAATTAGCTTTTAGGCAAAAATAGTGTGTGAAGATAAATATTTCTCTTTTTAGAATTTGAGGGTTTGTGTTATCATCTAATGGATGCTCCCACAAATTATGCATCCAATATTTTCATTTTGGCATATAGGTGATTCCACTACCATGATGATGGTGGTGACCTAATATGGAAGAATGAGCTAAAGTGATCTTCATAAGGGAGAACATTCCCTTTGTGGATGGTTTTTGAAGCTTACTCAAGCATCTAAGTAAGTTTACTAATTCTAATGAATGTATCATCTTTTACAACGCTCTCAAGACTCATTCCAGGACTTAATGGCTACAAAATGGAGTCATACTCCTATTTATAGGCATCCCATTCCTAGTGGATGGCTAAGATGCATTCTAATCGACGGTGGAAATTGATTCTCTAGAATCGTCTCCCACCTTTCATACACTTCTACAAGTATCTGTACATATCTACAATATTCTACACAATTCTAGAATCCTCCATACTACTCTATATTATTCCAGAAGACTCCATAAACTCCTCTCGCCATGTAGCATCTTACTCAGCACTTGCGTGTTGCCTGCATAACATAACCTCCATCGGCGGGCATAACAATAAGCTACTGAATCATAAGTTACCAAACTGGATAGTAAGCTAGCAATCTGGTTGCTCAAAAATTTTGTGAGCATTTATGAAACACGCTATAATATTTATGCCAAGCTTGTAGGCTAAAAAATCTAACCACCATCACATGTCTCAGCCTTCAATTTGCTATTTCAAACGAGTGTCAAACAAGCACCATTTGATGGGGCTACTCTATAAGAATTGTCACTGCACTACCAGCGCCTGAGTTGACCATATTTGAAACAACAGCAGACAAGGCAAGTAAAAAAAATAACAAAACAGAAGTAAATATATATATAAAAGGGCTTACTCCACTTGATGATTCCAATTAAAGAATAACCAACGTAGACTTCAATTCTCCCAAGCCAAGTTGCAAGTAAACCGAATAAGAAAAAAAGTTTACACTTGCACCCAAATCTAGAAGGGCTCACTCCACTTGATGATTCCCTATTGTGCATGAAATTGTTGGAGCACCTAGATCTTTGAACTTTGGAGCAGTGCAGTACTGGATTATGGAACTCACTTTTTTAGTTAGTAGCACCTTCTTAGGAACATAACTATTTGAACGCCTCTTTTGAGTACACATATCTTTCAGAAATTTGGCGTAAGCTAGAATTTGCTGAATTGCATTAAGCAATGGGAGATTAATATTCACCTATTTGAATATCTCCATTATGTCCTGAAGTTTGCCTCCTTGCTTCCTCATCTTTGATGTTTTTTGCAGTCTCTAAGGGAATGGCATAACTACATGCTTCTGCTTAGGAGATGACTCAGCAGTTGTCTGATCATCTTGTGCCTCTTCATTACTCTCATTCTTTTCTTCAAGTCTTTTTTTTCCATTTTTCATTCTTCTTTGTTTCCTCTTCTTCCACCTTATTTTCAACTCTCTGCCCACTTCTCAGAATAGTGATTGCTTTCACTTGTTCATGGTGAACTTCTTGCCCAGTAATGTCATCAATTACCCGTACTCCTCTTGGATTAGCCATTGGTTGACTAAGAAGCTTGCCCTCCTCTCTTCTATTTAAGGCTTAAGCTAATTGACCAACTTGAGTTTCTAACTTGGCAAAAGATTGAGAATAAGATTGCACAAGCTGAATAGTTGGCTCTAACTGCTTTGTTAGCATTGCCTAAATCATTGGTAGGAATTGTTGAGGTTGACTATAGGCATGCATAGGGGCGAACCCTGGAGGATTTGAAGTCTGAATTTGAGATTGAAAATTGCCTTGCATCTGAGGTATTTGAGGTGGAGGAACTGATATTCCTATGGCTGGACTTCTCCATGAGAAGTTAGGATGGTTTCTCCAAGCCGGATTGCATGTGTTTGAAAACATATTGCCTTTGGGCCTTACATAGGCATCATTAACTTGCTCTTGTGGAATTTCTGCAAACTAAGTTGCACTTGAACAAATAGACACATGGTGATTTGGACTGGAACAGAAAGAGCACACCTCAAAGCCTTGAGCATTAGTTGAATGAGGAGTATAATTTGACTGTGAAGTCATCAATTGTTTAACCCTCTTAGTTAATGCCTCCACCTAGCTCACTAGCCCTCGATTTACTCCTGCTTCATTCATGCTCTCTGTTCTTTTCAATATAGTTGGTGGTCTTACTACTGGAGGTATGACATGTTGTGTAGAATTATCAGAAACATTTTTAAAAAGATGTCATGCCTCCTCTGCACTCTTCAACATAAAATTTTCACCACACGATGCATCCACCATATACCTTTGTGCCTCGTTGAGCCCTTTATGAAAGAAGTTAACCAATTACAATTTTGGCATGTCGTGATGAGGACACTTCTGGAGGAGATCTCTGAATCTATCCCAACCCTCATGAAAAGGCTCCTCAGGTCTTTGAGCAAAACGGGTAATGGCATTTCGATACTGAGTAGTTCTCACCATGGGAAAATACTTGTTCAAAAACTTCTGTCTCAGCTCGGCCCAAGTAATGATGGAGTTGGTTGGCAAGGAATTAAACCAGTCCTTTGCGTTATCCTTCAATGAAAAAGAGAAGAGGTGTAGCGTGAATACATCATCGTCAAAGTTCTGGATCTTTATTGCTCTGCACACCTCTGCAAAGTCATCCAAATGCTGGTATGGATCTTCTGTTGATAGGCCATAAAAAGAAGGCAGTAATTGAAGAGTATTGGCCTTAATTTCGTAGTGCTGGGCCCTCACAATAGGATACTGAACTGCAAATGAAGAGTTATATGCACTTGGTTCATAATGATCTTTTAAACAGCGAACCGCTCCTTCGACTTGCACTTCCCTGTTGTTCTCCCCATCATCCACCATCTTTGCCTTTTCAAGGCTTTTAGAATCTTTCTTCAAGTGTTTGAAAGTCCTTTCAATTTCTTGGTCTAACGAGAGCCTAGGGAGTGACAAAGAACATCTTCCAAGCATATACTGTCATCCAATAGTGAACAAAATAAAAATAAAATAGAATAAAAAATCCTAAACTAAGATCCCAATTGAAATTAATTGTAGAACTTAATATGGTCTGTTAAGAACTAAAAACAATTCCCTGGCAATGGCGCCAAAAAACTTATTGTAAACCTAGATGTAACCACTCGCAAAGCGCATGAATCTTTGCAGATAGGTGTAAGTGTGTCGTACCCAAGAGACTTGAATTAATGAAGTTGTTAACATACTTCTTAAATTCTAAATTAACATGAAGTAGGATAAACAAGTTTTTATGAATTAATCTAATGACTAAGTATAACATTAAATTAAATTAAATGCAATAATTAAATTAGATGAAGAAAATAAGAAAGAAGAAACTAAGGGCAGATCTCACCACTAATGTCGCACCACCAATCAATTGCATCAATTTATTAGAGAGATATGAACATGCATAAGAGATTAATCATGGCTACAAGCACATATTAATTCAGCTAGAAGAGAATATAAAATTAAAGCTAAGTATGAACTATCTTCGATTAACATAAACCATCTACCTAACTACTCTACTATAAGGTATAGTGTAATGACCCGGTCATTTTCTTTCTTTTCCCTTTTCTCAGATTTTTACGGATATATATATATATATATATATATATATATATATATATATTTTTTTTTTTCCGTTGATCTGTTCTTTTCTGAGTTTGGTTTCTCATCACTTAGTATCATCTTGAGTGCCCGGGGATGATATTCGAGACTTTTTTCTTTGGATTGACAACTTTCTTTGAGGACTGAGTCATTTCCATATTTTCACTTTTTGGACACTATCACTTTTCGTCCTTTTCCCTATTTTGTCTTTTCCCCATTTGTCACTTTATTGGCATAACATCACTTTTTATGTTCGGAGTTGGTCTCTGACTTCATGTATCTTTATTCTAAGTGGTTTCCACGAAATACGTATCTTTACTTTTGCAGAAAAGTACTCTGGTTGCTCCCGTTGTCCATAGGGGCATGGATGCGCAGTTCTTCAGAAACATTTCCTTTTTTTGGGGTGTTTTCGTAAATATCTTTTGAAGATATTTTATTTTAGGGGTTTTTAAGAAAATATTTTTGGAAGAAATTTTCATTCTGGGTTATTAGTGCAGTTATCACTTTTTGGAGGGGCCATTGTGCAATTAATGAAAGTTATTGCAAAAATGCCTCGTTTTGAGCATGGATCCTCGTACGGGATTCATTTTCGCTTTTTGTTGAGTCACGTACTCTTAGAATATCCTTTTGGTTGTTTTTCTCCAATTTTAGGGTTTTTGGCCCCGATTGTCACCGAACTTGTTCGGGGCATATCTTTCTGCTCGGAACTCAGTTTTTGACGCCGTTTCTTCTGTTATTCATCTTTTCTCATTTTGGTTCTTTTTTGTTCACGGAGTTTTCCATTTGAACACGTCTGCGTGAATTTTACTTTTTCAGCCCGGCGGGACCCGTTTGGGACACTTTTTGAGTTTTTCTATAAATAGGGGGTCTTCGAAAGAAAAATCAGATTTTTTTCTCTCTCTCTCCTCTCTCTTGGCCAGATTCCATGGCAGCCATGGGCTGCCCCCTTCTCTCCCCTCTTTTGATCCTCTTCCTTTCAGTGAAACGCCGTAGTGCCTTAGTGTTTTTTGTTCGCCTTGGTGAGGCCTTCGATTCCACCGATTGGAATCTCATTTTGGCCATTTTTTGAGTTCAGGTTTGAAGTCAAGTTATGATTTTGATGGGGCTTCCTTGGGGTTATTGTTCACCGTGTTGTCCCCGACAAAACCCCGAAGTATCGTCGGATTCGGAGCGGTTTCATTTTGGTGGCTTTTGAGATTTTCATCTCAAATTAAGGTAGGGGGTGTCTTAGGTTTATATTCATGTTGTATTGATGATTTTAGAAGCTTATATAATTTGTATGCATGCTTTGGTTTAAGTTCTAGAATTTAATTTAATTAATTTCTATGGTTAAGATTTAATTCTCATGATGATTTATAACTTAGGATTAAATTGTGGCATACTAGAAAATTAGGCTTTGGTATGTTTGTTAACATAAATTTAATTGGGATTATTTGAATAAGAATTACATTTTTTATTTAATAATTATTTTTGGTGAAAGTTTAATTCTCATGGACATACCTTGCATGAAATTAACTTTTGATATGCTTTTAAATTTAGTCTTGGCATGTTCTTTAATATACTTTAATTTGAAAGCATTTGAAGGAGTATGAAAATCTAGAGATTTTAATTAAAAGGATTAATTAAAATCTATTTAATGGTTCCATTGGCTTAATTAAGTTTTTAACTTGATATTGGTGATGACTAGGACCTGTACACTAGCATATATTAATTTGGGACCTTTTAGAGTTGATTTAGAATTTAGAGATTTAATTATCATGATTTAATTAAATTCTACCTTATTGTATTAATGACCTAATTAAGTTTTTGATTTTGTATATGTAACGACCATGCTATGTTGTTTAATATGTGTTAATTAGGGATCATTTGATTGGGTTTTGAAACCTAGGGAAATTAATTAGTTTATTTAATTAATTTATGTTGTTAATGATTTAATCATGTGTTTGACATTGGTTATATGTTTAAATCATGATTTTAGACTTGTAATGGATTTATGAGTTTATATTTTCAATATATTGTTATAACGTGTAACGAATCGCACTATAAAGATTCGACATTTGTCATCTTATAGTAGTTGTGGATTTAGAGCATGTGTTGTGTGGTTACAACCTACTTGTGCATAGAAGGGGGTTTCATGCATTATTTAAGTTTATATAAGTTTTAAACTTATCTATGATTTTGGAGTTACAACATTATTACGTTGAGATGGTGGCTAGGGTTTGGCTCTAGTACGGTAACAAGAGTCCTCTAAGTCATTTGTGCACATGGGGTGGTATTCCCAGCAGGTTAGTGCCCGGAATAACCGTTTAGGTCTTGGCTTTATCCGAGATTTGATGTTCAAGTATTCCACTATTTGTTTTCGCATTCAATTCCAAGTTGGCAATCATGTTTAATTGTGACTTGTGGTTTTGGTTATTGGTAATTTAATGTTGTTAAGTACATTTATGCATTATGATTTGTAAGGAATCATTGCAAGTTTTTAATGTTGTTAAGTACATTTATGCATTATGATTTGTAAGGAATCATCGCATGTTTTTAATGTTATTAAGTACATTTATGTTTTAAATGTTCAAATGTAGCTTAGGAATGATCCTATTGATTCATTTGGAACATAGTCGTTAGGTGGCAGGATCCACTTTTATTGTTTTCGTATTTTAGATTTCAAGTTGATGGCTTGGAGAATCTATATCTTGTTGTTTTGTATAGCATGCTTCTATGGTGTTTGAATTGCATGAATGATGTGATTTATGAAAAGATTTAAGGTAGCTTAGGATGCTCCCTGAGTCTCACCTTTGACATAAACGTTAGGTGGCATAACCCTTTTGAATTGTTTCACGTTAATGTGATAAATTTGTAAAACGTTAGGTCCTTGCATGCTCATCTCCTACGAGTAGCTTTATATTACTCACCCCGAAGTTACTAGGCACATTTTTCAGGTACAGGAATCAAAGTTGAGATTCTCGTTATGCTTGGATGATTTGTGGGCTTGAAGGTTTCCATTTTTGTAAAGATTGGCTAAAATGCCATTTGTAGCCTTATATGTCAAAATGTGTATATTTGATTTTAAACATGTAATGTGTGCCTAAGCACACCTTTTGATATTCATTTTTTGTGTATGTATACCATGAAACCAAGGGCCATTATTTTTTTTAAGTTCACAAGTATGTTTTAAACTTGTTGGGATCATTGGGAATGCATGCATAGCCTCAAGGTTGACTTAGACTTGCATACTATTTTGTCACTCGGCTGTTAAAGCTTCTATTTTGTCGTTTGGCTGATATTTGCCTTCTGTTTTGTCGTTCGGCTGTTTTCTTACCTTTTGTTTTGTCATTCGGTAGATGTTTGCATTCTGTTTTGTCATTTGGCTATTTTCTTACCTTTTGTTTTGTCGTTCGGCTGATGTTTGCCTTCTATTTTGTCGTTTGGCTGGTTATTTCCTTCTATTTCGTCATTCGGCAGTCCGAACCCCTGACCCTTCCGTCAGAGCGCCTGACCATGTGGGTCAGAACGTCTGACCATACAAGTTAAAACGCTTGAACCTTTCGTCTGAATGCTTGAACATTTTATTAGAACGCCTGACCATATAGGTCAGAGCGTTTGACCTTGATGAGTGCCGAACAGGTGCTCGGCCTTGATGAGTGCTCAATAGGTGCTCGGCCTTAATGAGTGCTCAACAGGTGCTCGGCCTTGATGAGTGCCAAACCGGTGCTCAGCCTTGATGAGTGCCAAATGAGCGCGCAGTGCTTTTTTTTCTTTCGTTTCCACATTTAGGACCCATTTTTGGGTTAACTTTTGGGTCATCACTGACAGACCAGGTTGAAAAACTTGGACTGTC